GAAAGCGATGCTCGTTAGAGACCTATGCAGCCAAGGATGGGAAGATTGGATTGCAGTGCAGGAGTTCTGAAATACTTGCAAGCGACAATATTCATGAACATATTGAGAAGGATGAGTGCATTAGCGCATGCGGGGTTAGTAGGAAAACTGTTGGCATCTCTTCTGACTACCTCTTCCAGCCTCGACACACTCACAAAATTTGCTCACCCAAGTGTCAACACAATTGCCTAAACATTGTTGATCTCTACAGCAATTTGGCTCTTGCAGAAGGTAAGCAACCCTTTTAGTTTTTGTGGGAAAATGTTCGGTCTCCAATTTCATAGGACACTAAAGTTGATTCTAACTATCCACGGACTTCTTTCTTTTGTTGGAAATAAGTTGATTCTAACTATCTTTCTGAATTACAAAACTGGGGTTTGGTTAGAAACTTGTTTGGATTGCGATTTTCTTTTTGAAAAAAAAAAACATCTTTTTGCTGTAGGACAGTTTTAGGATGTGATATATATGTGGTAAGAAAGGCGACTGAAACATGTGTAAAACGAATATTTACAAAAAAAAAAAAAAGCAATCCAGACACGGTAAGGTTTATAAAAACTGTTTTGAGCTGTGCTTGCTGCATGGTTTTTAAATTAAAACTGAGTTTTTTTTAGCTAATTTTAAGGTGGGAAAAAAAATTTTGATATTGGGATTTTTCTTTTCCTTTAGGATTGTACCTACCAGGAGTGTGCAAGAAGGCATTGGAAAGTGGTTCACGGCAAGAAATGAGTGAGATTGGAAGCTCCGAAATAGCTCCTTCAAGTACTGTTGCTTCCTCCCTAGACTCTGCTGAACCTCCTACTTCCGGTCCTATCCCTTGATTCTGCTCCTCTCTCTCTCAATTTGTTTGCAGATACTTCTGCAATGGTGAACAACAACAACAACAACACCCAAGCTTATGCAACAGCTCATCTCAATGTATCATGAAATCTTCCTTCCTTAGGGGAAAAAAAAAAAAAAAGGTAATCATGAAATGCAGTTAGACACCTGATCTTTTTCACTTGAGGGCCTTTTGATCCATAAATAAGTACTAATAAACACTGTAGCAGTTCCCAGTTTGGTTTGGAAATAAACGTAATGTACTGAATAATGCTACTCTAGAGTCGCCTCTCCAGTACTTTTGTTAGCATTCTTTTTCTGTCTCTTATCACCCAGAGGATAAATCGCTTTTTTGTTTACCTTCTCTTTTGGTTTCCTTTCGTAATTTGGGATAATTGATAAGAAGAAAAAAAAGGGATACATATCACCGATTGATTTGTCCATCCCATTCAACGCCCCTGATCGGAGTGCGTATACATGTGTTCGTGGTCGAACTTTCTCAATGTCGCTTCACCTCCTGTGGCAGTAATTATTCATGATTAATTAGATAAAACTTGACTAATTGCAGTGTCCATAAAATCGGTCCAGCCATTGTTGTTTGGATAGAGTATTATTTGAAATAATTACTGTAGCACTTTTTGTGATGTGATGTATGTGAGGTAAAAAGGTAATTGGGAATATAAAAAGGTGAGTTGGGAAATGCGTTTATGATGCAAGTGAAATATTATTTGAGATATTTGTGCTATCCAGTTAACACTCTTGTCACAACCTTGCAACTGTTTGAAAAACCATTAAAAACTTTCAAAGTTGATGAACCATAAGATGAATGTGCAATCCAACATGGAGCTAGCTAGTTTGGTTGCATGTGACGTATAATCGTATTCAATCTTTTCCTTATTTGTCACACTGAGACCGGAGGTGCCAAATGAGAGCATTCTTAATTTCTGTTGCACCTTTTTTTTTTAATATCAATTTGGAATATATTGAGTTTCAAAATGTAATTTTTACTAATTTCTCAAATCTGGTGTATCTATGGATATGCTGGATCGTCAGACGTGTTATGTGTATGATATATCTAGTACATTTTTTGTTAGAGTAAATCTTTCCTACACTGACGGTGTATACACTATCATCGTTAGATTCATGACATGTGTGTAAAGGTTGAATTTCAAATTCAAATTTTACATAGTTGTCAATCATGCAACGCTGATAGTGTATACACTGTCAGTGTAGGAAAGATTAATCCTTTTTGTTATGAGTGGTACAAATTTTATGAATGAAATTATAATTTTTTATCAAAAATAAAATAAGAGTCTGCATGAAATAGTCAAGAAATCACCTGTTTTTATCAGGATACTTTCTTTTTCCGTCCCCATTTTCTTAACTAGAGGTCCCCCTAATTACGAAAATATTGATTAAATTTACAACTTCGGGGTAGCTCCTATGACCGCTTTTAACCACCTATAGCATCTAAAATCAACCGTGGATAGGAGCGCACGTTTTTTTTTTTTTTTTTTATTTAGTCCTATTTATTCTTCTGCTTTTTTTATTTTTTTTTGTTTGCTGAAAAAAAAAAAGATACAGGCAAAAGAGCCAAATTCTATTCTTGTAATAACTATCTGCTCCATTTTATGAACAATGTTGAAGTTTTAGATCTTTCAAACACAACTGGTATTTTACTCGTTTTACTCTAAGCACGCTAATTTCGCTTGACGATTTATGCAAATAGTACAATTCTTGTTGCGACAAGTACAACCGCGATTTGATTGTGCCGAAATTTGAAAAGTTACATAACCAATGCAAGGGGCAGACGAAAATACCATCCCATCCAAACACACTAAAAATTCCAAAACTTAAAAGTTGCTCTAGCATCTATAGGCGACCCTTTTATTCTTCCCCTAGGGATGGTTGATTTCTTTAACAAAAAGAAGATATATATGTGAAGGAAAAAGCTGGTTTTTTGCCTGGAAATCTTTCTTCTGACTGACTAATAGCTCCAATCACTAAGAATTACAAGTAGCTGACCAATGGCATCTATGAAAATATGGGACATCAAATCCTGAGGTCTTGGCCAAAAAAAAAAATTTGAACGCGATGAGAATTGTAGAAACTTCTGATTTGCCAGCGTCTGTTGCTGATTCCCTGTTAATCTTCAAGAGAACAAAGCCTGATGACCCTAGAAAGTGAGCATGAAAAAGAGGAAGGCATCGAAAAGAAGAAAGATGATTGTCCTGAACCATCTCCTCCACCTCCCGAAGGGCCTCTAACCTTTGTACTACGGGTGCTTAAGCGCTGTTAATGGAGTTTATGTATGTATAACTAGTTATTTTACGTGTTATGAAAGTGAAGTCAGTCTTTTTTTATAAAAAATAAAAAATAAATAAAATTGTAGTACCATTGCCGTCTATCTTCAAAACCTTAATTAATTCCACTACTGAACGAATAATCTGCTTTAAATTAATTAAAAGAGCATTTGCACAATGCTGTTGCCATCCTAATTAGTAAATACTCGTATTATATCTGTATAATACACGTATCATTCAAAAAAGCTTTCATATTTTGTACATTTCAAAAATATTCTAAAACGTATTCGTACTTTTCAATTATTCGTACAAAGCATGTAATAAACTTTTAATGTATTGTACTTTCCGAATTGTACTTCAATTTTTTTTAAAAATTTTAAAATTTGAGTAAGGATAATGACATATTTACGAGTCATCTACAAAATAAAAGCGACAAATATCATAATAACTGTAGATATGTACATATTTAAATAGTAATGTAACAAAATTTTAATAAATTTATGATCTCACAAAAAAAATTAAGTTTAAGATTGGTATGAAAGCAGATATTATTTGAAAACCAGGGTAAATTTGTCAGTATTTTTCGTTCCGTAACTTTCAAGAATGTTCATACGATTAATGTACAAATTTACGGCCGAACGTGACCGGCAATCTGCCAGCTCGCATAGTTCACAAGGCACAATTGCACAAGCAACACAAAACCATAACTCCTCCTGATTCTCTACAGCATTTATCATTGGATACTAATAGCTAGTTTGGGAGTTTAGGAAAGAAAAGAAAAGAACAGAAACCTTAAGTTAGAAAAGAAAAGAAAAGAAAAGAAAAGATTATAATATCTTTTCATGTTATTTGGGAGTTTTGGAGAAGAAAGGAGATGAAATAACTTTCCTTTGTTTGGAAGGGAGAGAATTGAAAAGACAAGATTCAATTTTACATAAAAACCCTTAAATCTTAAGATACCATGAGAATTTTATTAGGTTATATAGTTATATTTTAATCTTTTAAGGGTAAAAATGGCATATGGTATAATTCATTTAACTCACTCCACTTTCTCACGTTTTCCGCCGATTTTGGGCAGAAAGTTTTTCTGACGTGGAAGGGAGCTGACATCCTTCCGTTTCTTTTCAATTCTTTCCTATCCAAAGTCCCAAATGTGAGAAAGATTCAACTTTCCTTTGTAATCTTTTCTTTTCTCACCAAATCTGCCCTTCCAAACTAGCTATAAGATTAAAGTATCTATTTTCAAATCACAGACAAACTAGTGGCTTTGTAGCAACGTCCAACAAAGATAAATTAGGCCCAACACGTAATCCTTGCTTTCCTTGGGGCTTCTGTGCCCTGCATTGTCTTCACTCTTCGAGGGTTTTGGACTTTCTCCCACTTGTTACATTGGCTGGACTGCTAAGGCATCCAAGTTACCTGTTACAACGTGTCGAAAAGAAGCAATTTTTTGTTATTTTATGTAAGTAGCCAAAGCTGGACGAGGAGTAGGCTCTGTTGCCCTGCCAAAATGGTAGTTCTTCTCTTCTTCTAGAGAAGAAAATGACATGAAACCATCGATGTGAAAACAAACGATGCCTCAGGCTTCCAAAATCTAACAAAAACTACGCACTACGTACCCAAAAAAGTAGTCTAAATAGTTTATGATTGCGTTGTTGCGTAGCAGAGGACGGAGAGGTCAATCAATCCAAATCATTCGTCCCAACAAAATTAAATTAACTTTCAGAGGAAGGATGCGGAGTATGAAAACAATTCACCAAATCTTTCTTGACTTAATGCATCGGTCATTTCTACATCTGTCATCACTCTTTTCTCCTCTGCTCTATATAAAGACCACAGGCTCCAGTATGGTAAACAGTCTGAAGCAACAAGAAAATTCGAGCTTCTTCTAGCTATCTCTGAAACCTGAGACTGAGAGCACAACATTCCATAAAGAAATGGCATTGGTTCTCTTCCTTGTGTTTTCACTTTTGCTACGAGGAGCCTTTGGTATGCAACTAAAAAGATCTTACCTTGTCCATCCTGATATTCTTGATTAAACAAAAGTATTTTGTTCTTTCTTCTCTAATGATGACTTTTGTGTCAATTTTATACAGGAGAATTAATATGCGAAGAATTGCCAGCTGAAATGTGCGCATTTTCAATTTCATCCTCGGGGAAGAGATGCTTGTTGGAGACTTATGCACCAACCGATGCAACGACCAAGTACCAGTGCAAGACATCTGAAGTTGCGGTGAACATTAACATGAATGGACACGTCGAGACTGAGGAGTGCATCAAGGCATGTGGGCTTCAAAGAAACGTTGTTGGGATTTCATCAGATACCCTCCTTGATTCCGGATTCGCATCCGAGCTTTGCTCTCAGGATTGTTCAGAGAACTGCCCCAACATTGTTGATCTTTACAACGATTTGGCTCTGGCGGAAGGTAAGCGTTCTGGTTTCTGATACGAATCATCTATGTTGGATTGGATGAGGGGGGTAAAGAGCTGATGCTGTTGAATTTTGATTGCTTTTACAGGCCTGAATTTGTCAGAAATGTGCAAGGCACTGAAAAACAGCCCACGCCGTATCATGGCTCAGGTCCGAAGTTCAGGTTCTGCCTCAGGTCCTGCCTCTTCTGCTGCTGCTCCATTTGCAGCTGAAGCATTGAATCCTGCCTCAGTTGAATCATTATACTCCGCTGCATGGGCTCCTGCTCCCCTGTTAAATTAATCTCAAAATTATGAATTTGCTGCTATGTATGTAATATATTTGACGAATTTATTCTGATGGAGTAATATGTTTTAAGTCCGAATTTCATATTTGGGATCAGATAATCTGTTTAGCCATTTAAAGCGATTGACCCAGATTAATCAACCAACCAAAACAAGAGCAGATGAAGAGGACTAGCTTCAATATACAAAAAAAAAAAAAAAAAAAATTGCTTGCACTTTTCTACCCATGCTACGGATTACAATTTTCCCTTGGAATATTTATTGGTTGTTCGAGGGGCAAAAAATGCATTTCCCTCGTGTTTCTTGCAGAAGCCAATTTAATCCTATGCATCTTCAATTTTGCCAACCTGATGAATTTGGACACTACCAAAATGAAATAAGAATTTGGTAAACTTTCTTCTGCTTATTTGGTCGGACGGACTTTGAAAACGTGGAGGAACAAATAGTTATTTTGCCAAGTTGAAAGACCAAATTGGTAAGCATACAAATTGTTACGGGACTGTTGGTGAAATAAACTCCCTCACGACAAGACAAGGGGGCAAAAAAAAAAAAAAAAAAAAAAGGTTGTCTCTCAACTTTTCCGGTCCCCGAAATAACCCGGCCCGCCCAGCCCCCTAATTTCCACGTATTAGTGGTGGTTTTCCGGCACTAATCCACCAAAAGCCCTCCAAAAACCCACCACCCCATTCCCAACTTCAGATGCTATTCTTTGGTCTTTACTCTCCGCCTAACTTAAATTCATCAATTACCCGTTTCAGAGCCCGAATTTGACCCAAAACAGCTGAATAATCCGAAAAAAAACAAGTACCAGCACCAGAGATGATCGATGGTTACGATGATGATGCATCCACATCACCACCAAACCACTGCTCCGCCGCCGTCACACAACCACGGCAATCCCCCGCCGCCTCCTACCTCTTCTATTTCCCTTAGATCCCCTGCTTCTGCACCTCCTAATAACACTACTAACGACTCCACTCCCACTTCTGCTTCTACCCCTCACTCTCAGCAGCCTCACTCCTTCAACCACCTCATCTCTCTGGGTCGTGGGGATCATTACCTCCCATTGGGGCCCTCCCCAGCCCAAAACCAACCCCAAGACTCCTCAGGTTCCATTTTGACCCGGGTTAGGCTCTCTGATATATTGCCTTACGATGGGGCACCTGTGGCTCCCTACTTCCGAGCTGTGGAGGCCCTTTCCGGGTCCCTCATGAGGCACAACGCCGCCGTGATTGAGGTTGGTTGTGACGATGCGGCTTTGCTCCGGTGCGGGCTTGAAGCGGCCCGGTTGTTTTTCCGGACTAGAACTGCACATGTTCCAGGTGGTGGTGGTGGTGGTGGTGGTGGTCCTGGGAGTTGGGGTAAGGGTGGTCGTGGGGTTTATATGTATAGGCCTGGAAGGTAAAATATGCTAACCAACTTCATAAAGATATATTTATTTTGACTACCATTAGTGATTGAGGAGCTGTGGAAAGAAATTGTTGTTGAGAATGTGAAACTTACGTAAATAGAGTAATTTAGGCGGTTAAATTTCGTGTCCTGCATTATTTTGTGACTTAAATTTGTGCGATTATCTTGGAGTTTTAAAATTTTATTAACAGATTATCAATCATTCCAACCATATAGTAGGAGCAGAAATCAGCAAATATTGACCTAAAAAATTGGTAATTGATTCTGTCTGAAGACACTTCTTCATTGGCCACAATGAATAGTATAAATCTAAATTAGCCCTCCTTGTATATTGTAACTCTCATGGCTTTTTAGTGCGTCCTCAATTCTACAACAATTTATGTGCTAGCTTACGCATTTCGGATGTAAATGCCTGATTTTTTCCAACAGGTCTTTGGAAGATATGGACCCACCCCCTCCATGCATGGCTGATGTTTTTAGATGTATGGGGAAAGCAGCTCGAGCTGCATTATGCGCCATTGCAAGGCATCTCCGTCTCCGCAGCGAGTATGAACATGTTTTTGGAGTATATACGCTTGCTTTTGGTGGTCAACTTTAGTGTTTTCTGATCTGTATTTAGATTGTATCACTGCTTGCAGTGTTTTCAACCACTTGCTTGATGATAGCCCATTGCCTGCTAACGAGGCTTCTTCATCAGTGCTTGTTGCAACCTTTTCCAGTACACACTCACTAAATGGAAAAGGATCTACAGGAGGTGGAAAGCTGAGTGGAAATGGTGAAGTAGAGAAGGGGCTGTTGACGCTGATTTCCTCAGATGCTGCTGGACTTCAGGTGTTGTAACCTATATTTGGACTTTTTTTTTATGATCAGTAGGTAGGTTGCAACAATATGTACTAATTTCCTGGATTCCTTTTTAACTGCTTATACATCCTTTCTACATTTCAACTAGATCATTTTTGGAATTGTAATGCTTCAACACTTTGTTTTCCTTGATTAATTATCCACCAGTTCTTTCCTATTATTTCCAGGTTTGTGACCCCAATGGCCGTTGGTACCTGGCTGATAGTGGCTTAGTTCCTGGGGACATTTTACTTCTCACAGGCAAGGCTCTCAGCCATGCTACAGCTGGTCTGAGGCCTGCGGCTTCACATCGCTCTGCATTGGATATCCCTCCAGCAACTTCTAGTGGCGGAAGGTAGAAATTGGTGCTTAAGTGTAATTTGATAGTTGCCCAAGAATGTCATAGGTTGAAGAAATTTCTCAACTGATCAGTACACTTTGCCCTGCAGGACATCCCTGGTCTTTAGGCTCATGCCACAAGGCAATGCAATACTTGATTGTTCACCAATTGCAGCAGCTGGTCATGTCATTCCTCAGAGTTATGTGCCAATCTCTGTAACCCAGTTTATGGATGACCTTTCTGTAGAAGAAGATGTATTATGTAACCAGAGTGATATTGCTTATGTAAGTTCCGCTTTCCTGTTGTTTATGTTGAGATATTCAACGAAAGAGAACATGGAGTTTTATGAACTCAGAATGCTTAATTTCGCAAAGTAATTTTCTTGCTTTTGGAGTTTTTGAGTAACTTTATTACGCATTAAAGTTTCATGTATTGTTTCCTGTTCCTGTTTTTGGAAGCTACCGTCTGTGATGCATTCCGTATTGATTTCTGGGCAAGGCTTTGTTTTGTTTTTGGCCATTTTCAAAGCATTGGGTCTAGGAACTCTTTCTTTTTCGTGAGAAATGGAAGAAATTTGTTTTCCCTTTTGTCTGGCACGGTTTCCTTAACATCAATTCTGAATATGGATAATCTAGCAGCAATATGTGAAGAAATTTTATTTTAGATCTGGATCAACAGGTGGCACAAGATAATTTGAACAGGGAACCATCATTGAGAAGTGTTCTCTCAGATCCTTTATCGTAAGTTGAATTCTCTTTCAATTTCAACTGTTTGATCACTGCTTTTGTAGTTTAACTTCCCAAATTTGTGTTATGTTTTGTTACAAAGTCAAAATATTTATGGACATGGTATCAATCTTGTTGATAAAATCTTTGTGAAATAGAATATTTGCTAAAGATGTCGGATGTTATGAATTAGTTGAATTTGGACTACTTCTTCCTGACCTTCAGACCATGAAACATTTCATACTTTCTGATAGTGTACTTGAGGACATAAAAAAATGTAGAGTATGATTTGGTTATATAGCTCTTTTGATTTCTAGAATGTAGGCAATTTTCAGAGGCAAAAAAGTGCACATGAGGAGTGCATGAAAAGCAGGACTCTAAAACGTGGATTGTTATCAACTTGTTTGTTATATCCCTAATTGCCTGATAATTTTTGTTATATTGTTTATATGAGATGCTACATGGAAAGAAATTTGGTTAACTGTTAATTTTGTGGTTGACCTCAACATGAATTTTGGTCCTGTTCTTTTATGTAAACTGAGCCTCTTCTTTTTTCTTTTCCTTCTCTTTTCGAGATCCAACTATTCTGCTTCTTAATAAATGTGTGTGTTTTGAGTATAGATTGATCTTTATATTTTTCAGTTCATGTGAACATTTGACTCTACCCATGTTTCAGTGGTGCATTCCTGGAAGATGCTATGTTTGTTTCATGTGGACATTCTTTTGGTGGGCTCATGCTTAGAAGGGTCATCAGCACGGTAAATGGGACAAATACCTCGTTTCTTTCTTTCATTTCCTTATATTTGTGAGATATATGTACACTTTTTGGATGACCTGAATATGCAACTGATAGCTTGGCTTGATTACCTGATTGTTAGTTGTTGGTGCAATTCTTTTGCTGGTTGTTAATATTCTGGGAGAAGATTTGATGGGAAAAGGGCTCCTCAAACATGAATAGGATTATTGTTATTGATCCTTTCTTGTTTTGGTATAATGAATCTATGCCTGAAGTGAAGAGTTAGATTTACTCCATTTTTTTTTCATCACAGTCCAGATGTGCTCTCTGCAATGCAGAAATCGAGATCAGATCTCTGATCCCGAACCATGGTAAGTCACCTAGGTTGTGTTCCTTGCAGCCTCCTCTTTGGTTTATTTGGTTTTGGTCGTCGCTGTATTTTCTTTAGGTGTTTGTACTATGAAAGGTATTTGTGTACATTTTGATGTTGTCTTCTTGCTCTTGAGTTTAATATGTTTGCTGCTGCTTTTATCCACAGCCCTAAGAGCAGCTGCAGCAGCAGTGAAGCATGAGGATGATAGGAGGCTATTCCATAATGCAGCTCTGAGAAAGCGCAGGAAGGAGATAGGGGAGCATAGGGTAAGCTTTTATTTGTGTGACTTGCCTACATCCTTCGTAGGCCTTTATTAGTTGTTTTCTTTGTCTCTGCACATGAATTTGTTTTCATAAATTCAATTGCATTGAAATACCATTCAACCTTCATCATTTTGTTTGGGAAATTTGATACTAGTACTTGTATCCATTTATGTATCGTAGTTGCATACTTTCTTCCTTGAATGAGAATCAGAGAGTATAAAGGTGTGTACTACTATTTGAGAATTATGGTCTTTGGCCTTCCCAGGAAAATGGAGACATTACTTCTGAAAATGGCCAAAATAGAGGTGTACAATATCCATTCTCAGTTAATGAGAAAGTGATGATAAAGGTGAGTTCTTGCCATCTCATTGGAATTATGCTACCTTCATTTATTGGAACT